GCGCACACGCACACGCACACACACGCGCTCGCGGGCCTCGCGCTGCTCCCTCGCGGGGCAGCCCGGCTGTTTTGGTTCTTGCATCACTGTAACAGCAGCAAACGGTGCTGCCCACCCTGCAGGTAGGAGCGGGAAAGGCTGGCACAAAACCAGGCCTTTGAGCGCGATCAAAGCGTTCATTCAGCCGCCCGAGCTGCTCTGCGCACCCAGCTTTCTTTTTAAGCTGGTATTCTGCCCCATCGCGTCAGAGGACACTCCAAATACTCGAACTCCGACAGCGTATCGTACTGCCTTGAAAATCAATTGCCGTCAAACAAGTCTCCTCCCAGTGAGCTGTGGCCGGGCAGAACTTGTCCTCATTTTTTTTAACAGTATTTTTAATACAATTTTTAGTGCTTTTGTGTACAAGCAGGTGGCAGAGAAAAGGTAACACGTTTCTCCCTCCCGCCCGCCTCACAAGTTTATTTATTAACAGTGACTAAAGCAATATGTGGCCTTATTTCAACAGAATGGAAGAGCATGTGTTTAAAAACAGGCCCACACTTTGTATGGGGAAATTTTCTTTGTTTTTAATTTACAGCAGAAAGAATATAAAGCATTCAGAAAACATTTTCCATATTTTAAGGGCAATTCAAAACATTTGCATGGTTCCAGCAGCTGAGTTCTTCAACAGATCCATTGATTCAGTGATGCTTTACATGCACGGTTACAAAAATAAAACTTACAAAAGAGAAGACATCTATACTAGTTTCACATGCAAGTCTTGGGGACCCCCCATTGGGCACCAACTACCGTGTGGAACTGCCGTAAGCGTGCAACCAGAGAGGGGCTTCATGTTATATTCTGCATTTCCGTCACACAGTATTACTGCTGTTGAATGTGTCTCACAAAGGAGCAATTCCATTACCAGAAGACGGCTCTGGCTCCTGGCACTTGGGAACGTGGGTTTTCCCAGAAAGCCGCACTCGCGTCCGCGTCTTCTGCGGAAATGGAAGCTCCACCACCAAGAGCAGGGCGAGCGGAGCCACTCCGCTTCAGCGGGYGCTGCAGGGCTGTGGCCCGGCACAACAAAGCACTTGGGAGCCATACTCCACCTCAAGCACGCAAGCAGTTCTGCTCATCTCAGGGAACTGCCTGCATGTTTAACAGGGAGTACATGCTTAAAACGTTTGGCTGAAGCAGGGTCTAGATTAGGAGATACACCACCAGGCCCATGGATCTGGAAGAGTAATTGGAAACGGCTCTGTATTTTACTGAATCATTTTGTACAAAGGTGGGGGTTCAAATGCTTCCACTGAGGTCATTACTCTTGTTAGGGAAAGGTCAATTCTATATTGCCGCGCACTGGTTAATGGGAGCAACGTTTCCCTTGCAAACCGTCCGAGTCCTTCAGCAGTAACACAGAGCATTCCAGTTCATCCCACGGGAGATTCTTCTGCAGTTCCCATTCCTTTTTTGGGGTGTGTGGAATATTTTATGCTTTAAGTCCCAATTCAACACAACAAATCGAGGCTATGAGGCTGCCCACAGCCACCATGTGAGAGCCAGGCCACTCTTCCTTCCTTTTTCCTTTCTTTCTTTTTGTTCGATTTAGAATCAGGTCGTAAAGCAGCAGTTCACAAACGTACAAGAGAATTCTGTTAATGAGCTATAGCACATCTACTATAATTCAATGCTGGCAGTGAAAAGAAGTAATTAAAAACAGGTACAATTATAGAAAAGGCACCAAGAGCACTGACCCCAGTTGTTTTTTTTTGTTTTTTTTTTTTGCCACAATCTTTGTTTTTACTCTTCTTTTAAAGACACCACTTTCAAAGCTTCTCGCATGTGAATATTTTCAGGCTTCACACCAAGCCTTGCAGTTGGCGGCCGGGATCAAGTCAGAACAACTCCTCCAAGAGYGACAATCTCGAACGTACCCCGGTCCATTCCGAGCTTCGGACGTGCCGCGAGCAGCACAAGCCCCAGGAGCAGGTTCTGACCGCGGCACGGCCGTGAACCCGCAGCAGCAGCACGGACTTGCCGAGGCCCCTCCTTTACATTCCTGCACAATTCCACATCGGACCCGGCTCCTGCTGCCGACACTGTGACAATTTTCAATTATTTCAATTTTAAAACATCTGATTTCTTTGGCTCCTCACAATGTGGAAATAGCAATATACCATGACACCCCTACAAGATCAGTTTGCATCTTTTTTTTAAGTTTTCCCTTTTTGTGTGTATGTGTGTGTGTGCAATTTTACATTTTCTGACTTCCAGCAGGAGATATGAAAATGTGAAACATATTTTCTACTTTCATACTATTTTTTTTTTCATTTTATATTCATTCTAAGTGTTCTTTATTGGAGTGAGTGTATGGTGTTAAGCTAGATACGTTTTTTTGTACTCTTATGATTATCTGCTCTGCAAAAGGAACTTAATTTTCTTAAGCAATATTAGCATTCGCATTACTTGGCACCATTGGCAAAAAAAGAAGTTAAAAAAAAAAGGGGGGGGGAAGGGGGGAAGAAGGAAGGAACAAATAAATTCAACCAAACCAAACTCCTGGTAGCCAAAATTAAATGTAAACATATCCTTTTTTTTTTTCTTTTTTTTTTTCTTTTTTTTTTTTAAGTAATGTTGCTCTGCCTTTTTTTCCTAAGTCTAAATACAGTAGCTCTTTTTTGCCATTTAGTCATGCTTTAGCAAAAATGTTCTTCTAAAGAACATTTAAAATAAAGTTTCTTATAGTGAAATAAAGTTTTTGTTTCATTTTACAGACCATAGCCACTAATGCTTTGCTTTTTTTCATTTCTTTTTCTTGAGTTCATGCACATATCTCTTTTGTTTTAATATATACAGTATGTACAAACAATACATCCACACTCTTCTCGTTCGGACAAAACTATACAAATAATAATTTTATCTTGCCAAGTTATTGACCCTTTGTGAATAAAATATTTAGTAATTAATCAATATATTCCCTTTGAAATATTTTTCTCATTTTCCATTTCTACCTTCTATATATACAGAAACTGCCCAGATTTTGATGAGATAGCCAAAATAAGAAATTTACTGGCCAGAATGCAGCACCACTCTGATCTTTAGGTGG